CTTTTCTTTCCAGAATAACCTCTTTCAGAGATGGTTCAAGGTAGAATTGGTCCTCCTCATATTTTGTCCACTGCTCCATAGACAAGATCTGATACCTCATGGTCAGGTCCAGGGCTCTCTTAATTGGAAGCATTCTGTCATTATAAAGATCCCCAGGAAGCCTTCTTACGGCTTCTTTCACATCTTCAGCCTGGTATACTGTATCATCTCGCATTACCCCAGTCTGTTGAGTCCTGCAGCATTATAATACCAGTTTCAGAAACCATCCAGCTGCTTGCTCCACACTGCAGCAGCCGGTCTGCCCGCCATTTTGACCTGAGAGTAAAGCGCTGCCTTCTCCCCTTTGATTTGTTTTGCAGGTCTTCAGTTTGGTGGTTCTCTAGCACCACCTCAACCAGCTTTGGGGGGTTGTTAGGCAATGAGCTAAATAAAGCTTGTGTGTTCGTGGGTCTGGGGCGTTGAAGGCAGCTCGGCAGGATGACTGCATGGTGGGTAGAATGGTAGCAATTTTGTCTGACATGGCCTTGAGGAGAATGCATGGGCTCATATCAGAGCATCTAAGTGAGACCCACCCTCCTGCCTTCCTGGGTGTACAGGCATGGACTCTGTGCAGCGGGTCTGTGCTGGCGGTCTTCACAAATACACAGAACCAAGCTTTCCCTAGAGAGCTGCTGCACATTAGGGTAAAACGTTACCTCAGGCTGGGCTACTGTCTTGCTGTTTGTGGGCATCCATATTGTTTTTTTGTTTGTTTGTCTGTTTGTGGTTTTTTGTTTTGTTTGGTTTTGGTTTTGGTTTTTTGAGACAGGGTTTCTCTGTGTAGCTTTGGAGTCTGTCCTGGAACTTGATCTGTAGACCAGGCTGGCCTCGAATTCACAGAGATCCGCCTGCCTCTGCCTCCTGAGTGCTGGAATTAAAGGTGTGCGCCACCACTGCCCAGCTCTATGTTGTTTTTAATATTCATGTTAGTAGCCACAATGGTTTGATTTGGGTGAAGAACCTGTTGAGAAGATATGTGGAATTGTGTGAGAGAGCTTTTCTGGAAAAGTCTTGCCAGATTCTCAAACATTTTATTTAAGAAGAGTTAAACACTACTGCTCTGAAAAATGACTGTCTTTGAATTTTTTCTTGGCGTTCTAAAATGTCCTATCAGCCCTGTCCCCAAGCCTGGTGCTCAAAGCACCTGTAAGCAGAAGGGATGGAGAGACATTAGGATAAGATGGCTAAGAACTGGGGACTGAGGTCCTGGACTGTCTAGCTCTTGCCCTCATGAGCTCCTCAGGCTCCAGTGCAGTCTAACATCCTCCTTCAAGAGCTACTCAGCGGCCAGCGGCCTGGCTGTCCTCTTGCTCCTGCTTTTCACCACTGTATCAGCTGAGGAAAGGCCTGCTCTCCCCCTGCGCTGGGGAGCAAGTATGAGGAACTGCAGCAGTGAGACTTGTTTGCTTGCAGAACAAATGAGATTTTTTTTCCCCCTCTGGGCCTCAGCTGGGGTCTGGACAGGAAGTCTGCCTGGTTTTCTTTCACCTTACTGGCTTCACAAACCCACAGTTACACCTGCACTTTGTGAGTCAGAATTGGAAGCATTGTTCTCTGGTTACCACCAAGGAATGCCTTTCCTGAATGGTTCCTGTGGGTGTGAGTAGCTCTGAAGGAAGAATGTCCAGAAACAGAGACAGTAGCTATTTATGGTTTATTCTTTTGGTCAGACATAATTGAATACATACTGTGTGCAGGTAGAATTCACTGTATCCCAGGAAAGGCAGGTCTATGTGAAGACATTACCTAAGCTGTAGAGAATAAGCAAGCCCATCAGAGGAATCCCAGAGGGGCACAATTAATTCAGCAAGCGCACCTGCAGGGGCGGCCACCCTCACTAATAAGAGGCCATTGAGCTGGATGTTAAAGGGAGGATGTGGCTTCTGCAGGCTCTTCTGACCCTTTCCATTATGGAAGCATGCATTTTTACCTTGTTATTAGTATGCACACAATATTTCATGCTGCTGCCTTTCTGCTTAGCATTCCTCTGCTGATTTCCACTTAGCAACTAGGCCAAAGTATTTATCATTTTTAAAAGCTACACAGCATTTTTGCCTTATTGATGTAGCCTCATTGCATAGCCACCCTCTCATTTGTTGGGAAAAGCGGAGTTTTTCTCAATTACGAATCCTTGCAGTTGGCTCTTCCTCTCCCTCTTCCCTTCTTTCCTTTGTTCCTTAGGAATTCATGGCTAGGTTAAAGTTATGAATGGCTTTATGCTTTCTCCTTGCTTTTTTTTTCATTACAGAAAATTCCAAATATACATAAAAGGAAAATGACGAGTATAATGATCCCCACATATTAGTCATGGAGCCTCAATAATAATCAGTTCATGGTTATTATCATGCCAAAAATAAACTAGTCCTAACTCTTCATTTTTTTTTTATGGTACTAAAAATGGAACCAGGGTCCTCATCCACACTAAGCTTCAACCACTAAGTTATATCTCCAGTCTATCATAATTGATTCCTAATAGAAAATATCTAGTCATCCAAATGAAAGCTGACAGTTTCCCAGTGTTTCTTTGGTCACTCTCATGAGGCCAAATTGCTTTTTGTTCCAGGGTGTTTGCCAGGGAAGTTTTGCTTGACCTACCAGTTAATGACTAGGACTTTTTTTTTTTTTTTTTTTTTAAATCAAGAAAGGATCTGTCGGCCTGCAGGACCTGACCTCCAAAGGAATGGAGGGAGGAGGTGGGAGAGAGGCACTGCACTTTACTCCTAGGGAAGCTTGGCTGTAGCACCCTTTTCACGTACCGGCTTGAACTGACAATGTGGGGGGGTAAAGCAATGTCTGGCCTCTCCCCTTGAGACCACCTCACTAAAGCAAGCAGTACCATGCTGTCATTTTCAGCACTGAGAAAAGCTACATAGATATTAAATTTCTCTTTCTACAGTAAAAATTCCAGAAAGCTAGGAAATGCCTACTCCCTACTGTATTTGGTCACTCTGTTGGCATGTTTCTCTTGGCAAGCTTTGTTCTGTATTGTTCAAGGTGACCCAGTTAGAACTAGGGTTTAAAGTCATGCTGGCCTCAGTAAGTTACACAACCTGTGTGGTATTAAGTCTACCAGCTCTGCATATTTTACAAGGAACTACATACTTGCATGGAGTCTCCTAATAGTTAAATATGGTTACATTTAAGTATACTCTCTCCTGTTTGTTCTGTGTTGATATTTCTGATTTTTCAGTGGTGATGGATAGGAACAGCTTCCTAAATAATTCAGAGCCCTGTTGTATTTGCCATCTCAGACTGATTCTCAGTTTGGGCCCCTTGAATTAACTAGGAGTTAACAGCTTCCTGGGTGACCTCCTCTGGGACAAGGGGTGTTGTTAGCAGGGAGGCTGGTCAGGATGAAGTGCCTTGAGAGATAACTGGGGGTGGCAGCTTTATCCTTAAGAGAAGAGAATCAGTGCATTTATGAGAAGTTTGCTGTACTCAGGCCAGCCTAGGGACTTGCTGTTTCATATCTTTCTTTCTTTCCTTTGAGAACTTTATTTGCAATACATAAAAATAAATGAAAATGTTCAACTTAAATTGAGTATCACAAATGTAAGAAGGTACTGCTATCATCATTTTAAATAATTGGTATAATTTTTTTGTTGTTGTTCCTTTATCTGCCTTGCTATTTCTGATGGAAAAATTAAATGACTGTTTTTTTTCACATGAGGCCCTAGGTATGGTCACTACCAAATGTGTATGTCATGCACGTAACCCCTGCCACCTGCCCCCCTGTACCAGCTTTTCCTTTCCATACACGCTTGCCATTTTATTTCTTATTCTTTTGTTTGTTTGTTTTGTTTTTCAAGGTAGGGCTTTTCTGTGTAGCCCTGGCTGCCCTGAAGCTCACTCTATAGACCAGGCTGGCCTTGAATTTAGAGATCCACCTGCCTCTGCCCAGAGTGCTGGGATTGAAGGTGTGCATCACCACTACCTGGCTTATTTCTTGTTCTTTTGTAGTGTAATATCACTTTTTTAAAAAAAACTTTTACTTTTCTCTCATTTTATAACAGGTTTTGCCAGATGTGGCAGTGCATGTCTTTAATCCCAGCACTGGGGAGGTGGAGGCAGGTAGATCTCTATGAGTGTGAGGCCAGCCTGGTCTACAGAGCTAGTTCTGAGTTAGCCAAAGCTACATAGTGAGACTCTGTCTCAAAAAAAAAAAAAAAAAAATTAAAAAAATCCCCTATCCCAGAACAAAAATAAAACAACAAAAGATTGCCTCTAAATCAAATACTTCTACATATTCATTATTTTCACCTTTTCCCTATTTCTCTGAAAGGCATTTTCCATTTACATCCTTTAAAAAATTAGTTTAGACTTTTTTCTTTACATCATTGCATAATGTTTCTCTCTGGTTTTTATAGCTACTTATAATGTCTGTATAATATCCAACTGAGTCACTATTCCATGATTTACTTAACCACCAATCTTCTGTTGAAGTTTTAAGAAATATATTTATTTATTATTTTATGTATATGTGTGTGTGTGTGTGCTTGAGTATATGTATGTGAACTACGTGAGTGCAGGTGCCCACAGAGGCCAGAAGAGGGGGTTGGATTCCCTGGAACTTGCAGTTGGTTGAAAATCACCCAAGATGGGTGCTGGGAACCAAGGTCGTCTGCAAAAGCAGCAATTACTCTTAACCACTGAGCCTTTTCATCTCTTCCACCCCTTTTGAGAAATTTTAAGAATTTTAAATAATACTACATTGATTATGTTCTGGGTAGTTTTTTTTCTTTTCAATAGCTTCATATTAAGATAATTTTTTTTCTTTTATTAGATAGGATTTCTCTGTGTAGCCCTGGATGTCCTGGAACTTGATTTGTAGACCAGGCTTGCCTTGAACTCACAGATATCTACCTGCCTCTGCCTTCCAAGTGCAGGGATTAAAGGTGTGTGTCATCATGCCTGGCTAAGATATAATTCTTATTCACTTATTTAAAGTATAGAGTTCAGTGGGTTTTTGTCTATTCTGAGTTGTACAATTATTACTACAGTTATGGAGGACATTTCCATCATTCATTCCATCACTCCCTATTCACATTCCTAGGCAATTGGTGACTTTCTTTCTGCCTCTGTAGATCTACCTGTGGTTACAAATTTAAAACTGAAGTCAGGTGTAGTGACGCATGCCTTTAATTGCAGCACTCGGGATAAAGTGCTCATGGAGGCCAGAAAAGGAAATGGAACTAGAGTCCCCTGGAATTGGAGTTATAGGTGGTTGTGAGCCATCAATGTGGAGGCTGAGAAATGAATCCGAGTCCTCTGCAAGAGCAAAAGTGATCTTAACTGCTGAGCCATCTCTCGACCCCATTTTAGCCATTTTTAAGTGTACCATTTATATTCTTGTGTGACCACCACCACCAAACATTTTCATAACTCCTTCATCTTTCTGCACTTACAGTCTCCTCAGTTTTTCTCCTAAGTTCCTGGTAACCAGCATTCTCCTTTCCCTCTGGCATCTGACAACCCTAGCCACTCCTTATAATTGAATCCACACAATATTTGTCCTTTTGTGACTGGTTCATTATACTTAGCATAATGTCCTCAAGGTTCAGCCATGGTATGGCACAAGTCAGAATGAGACCTTTTGGGGGCAGGGTCTCACTATGTAGCTCAGGATGGTCTGAAGCTTGTAGTCTTCCTGTGTCAACCTTCTGAGTGCTGGGATTATAGGTGTGCACCACCACACCTGGCTTCCATGTCTTTTTAGTGCTTAATGAGGTTCTTTTGTATGGATGTGCCATATTTGTTCCTGTTCTGCCCATGCAGTGGACATCTGGTTTTATACTTTCTGGCAATTGTGACAAATGCCACTGTCTTAGAGTTGCTATTGCTGTGATGATACACCATGATCAAAAGTAAGATGGGGAGAAAATGGTTTATTTGGCTTATACTTCCACATCACAGTTCATCATCAAAAGTATCACTACAAGAACTCAAGTAGGGTAGGAACCTGGAGGCAGGAACTGATGTAGAAGCCATGAAGGAGTGCTGCTTACTGGCTTGTTCCTCATAGCTTCCTCAGCCTGCTTTCTTACAGAACCCAGGATCAACTTCCAAGGGATGGCATCACTCACAGTGGATAGCTGGGTCCTCCCCCATCAATTACTAATTAAGAAAATGCCCCACAGGCTTTCCTACAGCCTGATCTTATGGAGGCATTTTCTCAATTGGAGTTCCCTTCTCTCATGACTCTAGCCTATGTCAAGTTGACATAAAACCACCCAGCACAGCCACCATGAACACTGATGAGCTAATTTATGTATAGAAATGCTTTCATTTCCCTTGGGTGCACTATTAAGAGTAGGATTGCAGAACTATGCATGACTTTACAAATACATCCTTAGTGTACTTATTTTATTTTTTCCTTAGTGTATTTATTTTTATTCTGAGTTTTGAAGAGATTATTAGGTCTAAGAATAATAGCCTTCTATGACCTCAGAAAGATTTTTATGTATTAATTTTTAAAAACAAAACCCCACCTCCTTTTCTGGCATATCCCTTGATACCTGTTGCCCAGATTGTTTTCAGAATTGTGAAATTCATGTTACCTTATCAAAGCATAATATGGTTCAATATGACCTTCCCAGAAGTGGGCGGTATTCTGTTCAAGATAAATGCTAATTTCAGTGTAAATGTTTAATTTCACTGTTTTGACTTGGATGTTTTTTTTTATTACTGACTGGTCTTCCTTTGTTGATTAGGTCTCTGAATGAATAACATTTGAGTTAATATCTGTTTCTTCCCAGATGTGTTGCTGTTGATGATGCCACAGGTACCTTTGGGTGCTGCTGATCCTGTAATAGGGGTACCCAGTTCTGAAGAGCAGCTCTTTGTAGGAGTTAGTTAAAGCACTCTGACATTAGTACGCACACCCAGCGCGAGCCCCTGGTAACTTCTGGAAGGCTTTGTCCTGGCTTGGAATTTCATAGTGGGTCTTTGAGGCAGAAAGTAAATCTTCCTGTCAGTTTGGTTCATGGTGATACTTTTGGCCCCTGGCTGCCTCATAGAGTTGGTTGGTCCCTGGCTAGCAGAGCATACTTAAGGTTTCTTCGCCCACTCCCTAGGTGGGAGTCAGGGCAGCTACCCTTTTCTACCACTGGGAGGCTGTGCTGCTGAAAGCCTTGGAGATATTCAGGCCTTTTTCTCTTGAATTCCATCTTTCCTCAAATCCAGTCCCTAAATACACATAAAGTGCAGTTCATAGGAGCGGGTATTCAGCTCAGTTGCAGGGTGCTTGTCTAAGACAGTCAGTACCTTGGCTTTAATCCCCAGAGAAATACACACACACACACACACACACACACACACACACACACACACACACACACAGAGAGAGAGAGAGAGACAGAGAGAGACAGAGAGAGACAGAGAGAGAGAAAGATCAACCTGTGTTCATAACATTATCTGTATTAGTCCAAAAGTTGATATATCTCGGTATGATGGAATATTTGGAGCAAAGACTCAATGGTAGTACTCTTGACTGGCTTGTGTTGATCCCCAGCACTGTCTCACTCCCTCTCTCCCCCTCCCTCCGTCCCTCACCCCCCCCCACATTATGATTCATATTTATTACACCCTATTATATTCGTGGTTTCATGTTTGTATCACTAGTTTGCCTAGTGTACTCTGAGGAGGTATTCCTGTTATGCCCACCTTTCAGTGACTAAACTGAGTTGGTGAGTATATGAAATGGGCCCAGTGTCACAGTGAGCCCAACTGCCTCCCTGTCTATCAGATTAGAAAGCATGCCCTCGACCAGTGTGGTGTCCTGGCCCCTTACTTCACTAAGCAGTTACAGTGACCTGTCCCTGCTTCTGTACCTGTCCTGAAAGGAACAAAAGAATTCTCAAGAGACATTTGTACCTCTCCCTTTGGCTGTCAGGAATATCGAGCTGGAGAAAGAAAAGGCTTCCTTGTGCAGCTGGAAGAAGAACTTGGCACATCTCTGATAACTTCTCAGACCACTTTGCAGAAAAGAAGCCAAGATACAATGGCAAGATCACCCTTGCTAAGGACTGCTTAGCTGGACATACCTTGTGCTCTAGTTAACTCTAAACTCATGTTAGGACTGTGCAGGTGGACCTGAGGGAGTGTCTCTGGACCTCTTTATTGGTCCCTCTTCCCAGAGTGGCCACACTGAATAAACCTCCTCTCTCTGCTTCTCACTGTTAGTTAGCTCTATAATTGGCCCACTGAGGATCACTGGATGAGCCTGGCGTGATGGGGCTGCGGGGTCTGCTCTGACCCTGACTCCAGTAGCACTTCCTGCTTACAGTCTGTATAGTGCAGCCACCGAGCTGTTCCCAGAGTGATGTGTCACAGGCACCCCTGTTGAAAGCCCCGGCTGCAGGAAGGGAAAAGACTCTTCTCAGTTGGTCTTCACTCTTTGCCTCCCTGACAGCTCTGCTCCCCGCTTCCCATCCTCCAAATTCCTGCTCTCCCACCTTTATATGTACCTCCTCTCCCTCTGTTGTCATTGCTAATCACCCCTCATCTTTGGGACTGCTGGTCTCTTTTTGTACACACACCCATGCTGACACTTGTCCCTCACGTCCTAGCTCTCTGCTTGCAAGTCTGTGGTCTGCTAAACTCCCTCAGCACAAAGGCTCTGTTCCCATCACAGCCTAGCACAGTGCCTGGCGGGAAGAGGCCGCTCAGCTTCATACATTTTGTTCGTTTGTTGTGTGCTGCTGGGCCGAACCTAGGCCTTCGGTATGTCAGGCAAGCAACTCTACCACCTACACTAGCCCTTCAGCTCATGTTTTGGACTTAAACCAGAAAGTCTCTAGGTGGCCTTTCTTATTTTCCTTCCCCAATGAATAGTACTCCTGACTCCCATGAGCGGAGACTGTAATTAGGCTATCTGGTGTCTTCTCTTAAAGAACTGTGCCCACTAGAGGCCCACGGGTGACGTATGTAGGACCGCGATGCACTCTGAAGAAGAAGTTGGCAGCCACGCCTGCAGGGGAAAGAGGAGACGCAGACAAGACGTCTGGGATGTCCCCTGCTCCCACACCAAGCTCTCCACTGGGCTTAAGCCAGAGCTCTGCCTGAGCACTGGCTTCCAGAGGACTTTTATTTTCTCAGTCAGCAGGAGAGAGCAGCCTATTTGGCTGGGGGAAGCCATCCTCCCAGCCTGCTGGCTTCTTCAGGGGCCCCTTCTCCTGGTGGCAGCTGGTGGCTGTGGTGGTGGCCACAGCGTTTCCAGCCCAGCCCTCCGGAGCCCTTTCTGTACTCGTCTACTCCCCACATAACACATTCCACCAAGTACAGAGAAGGGAGCTCATCAGACTTGTGACTGCACCCGGAGAACAGACCCCCCATGCGTTTGAAATCTGTGGATTCTCCTTAAGGGAATTCCAGTTGAAAAAGAACTTGGGTCAGCAGCCTTGGGCCTGTGTGGCTAACAAGCTCCTATTTTCTCTGTTGTTGGGCTGGCCTGAAGGGCCTCTTTGTTTGGGGTAGGGGTGGATGTGATGCCCTAATGAGGCCCTGTGGAATCCTGGCTCACACACAGCAGCCTGCGGGATGGAACTCTCCAGGCAGGAAAGCAAGTTGGTGAGTTTGTGGGTTTGTCAGGCTTTGAAGAACATGGAACAGTGTTAAAAGGGTGAAAACTAACTGGAGTATTGTATTCTGGGTTGGATTCAGCACAGAAAGGATGCAGAGCAAAGGTTGAAGAAATCTGAGCACTGTCTGGAGTTTAGCTAATAGTACTACACCGTGTTCACTTGGAAGTTTTGACAGATGCACGAGGGTTATATAACATGCTAACGTGGGAGGAAACTAACATGGCAATGTGGGACTGGTGGTGCAACTTTTCAGTAAACCAAAAATTACTTCAACATAGAAAGGTTATTAAGAAAGAAAAGGACAGGGGCAGCGCAGCACGTCCTCTGTACTTCTTAGACGGTCCGAGCCTCACCTGCAGAATTAGGAAGGCCGCTGCAGTCTGCCTCTTTGCCCCTGCTGTTCTTTGTTTGGGGACAGGTTGGGTTACAAGACCAGGTCCACCAGGAGGATGTGGGTCCTGTGGTTACCGGAAGCTCCTACCTCCTGCTGTGCATCATGGGACTGGTGACTTCCTAGGCCTCATTTTCTTCGTTTGTTAGAAGTTACAAACCTGACTGGAAAGGAAAGGGAGACTGAAACACCTAATGTATGTGGAAAAGCTGATGAGAGAGCTGAGGATGAACCCAGTGGTCACGCAGTTGCTCAGCATAGGCCATGTACAAGTTCCACCCCTGTGGCCCAGACTGAAGTGTGCTTGGTAAGCAGCAGTTTTTCATCGTCCTGTTTTTCTGTTGAAGGGATGAGTGTGCATTCCTTGAAGATTTAGATCAGTAGCTTTGAGGTCAGAAGGCTACCTTTGCCGGGGGTGGGGGGGGGGGGTGTCTAACTGTGGGGACTAGCACTTACAATACTGTACCTCCTCTCCCTCCTGCCCACCTCCAAGGGCCGTGAAGTACAGCTCTTTTTACCAGCTGGTTCTAAATCCTTTAGGGGTTTAAATATTTAGATTCACTTTAAAAAATCGTGCTGCTGTTGCTCCTTCACCCTAAAGATGAAACGAGCCAAGTTTTGAGGCTCCTTCCTGCTAAGGGAGCTCTTTCTATGTCTTCCATAATGAGCCCTTCCTGCTCAGAAACCCAGAACTATGAAAAGGCTAAGGACATTTGGGAGCTGCTAGGCGCTTGAAGCTGGTGAGCTGTTCACCTGTAGGTGGCAGTGGTGACACATGAGTGCTGAAGGAGGTTTGGAGGGACTGATGCTGCCAGGGAGAACCTTCAGAAGAGGAGCAGGAAGAACAGAAGGATCAGCCCGTGGTACAGCTGTGGAGGAGGGGTTCTTTGGGGCGGGGGTCTGACAGGTGTTTTCTCTCTAGTATCTGGTTTCCCTTCAGGCAACACTGTGAAAGAAATTTGTTGTTACTGTATTTTGCAGATGTGGGAAAGGTCTTGTGACTACCCTGGGGTATCCCAGTCATGGGAAGGACCAAGACTGCAGAGTCTGAGTTCACTGCTATCCAAGGCTGCCACTGTGATGCATAAATGAAGTGCATTTATTCTGCCCTGAACTACCTAGTGCCTGCTACCCAGGGGGCAGCCACCCAGACCCTGCCACCTGGGGCCTGTGCAGAAATTGCAGTCAACACTTTACATTCAAGGGTCCTGGTAGTACAAGACCAGCCTCTTTCTTATGCAGGAGATAGGGTGGGATGGGAATTGTGAGACAGGCTCTCTGTGTAGCCTAAGCTGATCTTGAACTTGTGATCCTCTTGCCTCAGCCTCCCAATGCGGGAACTATAGGTATGTGCCACCATGTCCCGCAAGGTCAGCCACTTAAAGACACAAAGATACCCTCCTTCCATTCAACTTCAAGTGTAGGTAGGGTGGAGAATGTTCTGATGAGCCAGTAAGAAAGGTAGAACTTCTCAGAACACAGCATTGCCTGGAAAGCTCCATGGTGCTATGGCCCTTCAGAAGGCCCAAGTGAGGTGGGGGCTCTATAGTGGCTAGGCTGGAGCCAAGAGCCTAGGTCCAAGGTGAGCCTGGATCCCCATGTCACTGCTGCTTTCACCTCCAGCAGACACTCTGCTTCTCTGTGGACCAGAGCTCAGCTGAATCTCATCGTGGGCTCTCATGGTGTGGTTGTGTTTTAGGAAGTCTAGGCCAAAGATGATCATTCTCACAACTTCTATCCAAGAATTGGAAATGCTAGCTAGGATAGTTAAGGAACAAAAAGAAACATAAGACATCTAAATGGGAAATAAATAAATAAATGATGGGTCTTGGAGGGTTCAGAAACCCTGCCTTGGCAGCCATCAACACATGAAAGATGCTATCTGCTCTTCTCAAAGGGTTTCTGTGATCAAGACATCAATGAGTTTCTGAGGGGACATCAAAGTGGTCCATAGCACCCGTGGGAGATGGGACCTTTCCTGTCATCTCTGTCAGAGAGCCCAAGGATGGCAGGGACAGTAAGATTACTGTGGAGGTTGACAGGTGGAGGAAGATGAATGATGAAGACACAGCCTAGCCTCCTAGTTTCTTTTCTTGGGAGAGAGCAGACTTTTCCCGGCAGTGGAAGATCCATAAAGTAGATGAGTCTACAAGCAGACTTTTACCACTCGGTGCTTGATTTGTCTTTGAAAAGACCTCAGCAGTGAGCTTTATAATCCAAGGAAATACTGAAGTTCTTTTGAATTGTCGAAGCTAGTAAATTGGATTTTATTCTGTCACATATTTGTAAATTTTATTTTTATTATGTTTGTTCATTTGTGTGTAGGAGGCAGAGGATAGCTTGTAGGAGTCTGTTCTATCCTACCATGTGGGTCCCAGCGACCAAATTTAGATCTTCAAGCTTGGTAGCAAGCACCTTTACCCAACGGGCCATATCACCAGCCCTCTGTCACATACACTGAAGAAAAGTACACTACCAAACGTTTTCCCTCCCTCTGACAGCTGCTTCAATATTCTTGGGGTCTATTTTTATATAAATAGAGTTTTTGAAATGTGATTTATTTGAATATTAATTTTTTTCCCAATAAAGAATAAAATAATCATGAGTGTGTGTGTGTGTGTGTGTGTGTGTGTGTGTGTGTGTGTGTGAACATGGGAATGTATATGCCACACTGTGCATGTAAAGGTCAGAGGACCATTTTCAGGAGTTGGTTTTCTTCTTCCAAGAGTCTTTCTTGTTTCTGTCACGCTGAATACTCAAGACCTGCTGGCCTGTAAGCCTCTGGGTTTCTAGCCACTCCTCTGTGTCTGCCTCCCATCCTGCCGTAGGAATGCTCACCCCAAAATGAGACTTTGTGGGGGTGTGGCGGTTTGTATGCTGTGAACTACAAAACACTGCTGTAAGAAGCCAGGTATGGTTATGTGCAAAATGCTCACGAGGCTATGGGAGATCGCTTGGCCTGGAATGAAGGTCGTGTGCGTGGTAAGCAGTAATTTTCATTCTCTCCTGTTTTTCTGTTTAAAGGGATGAGTGTGCATTCCGTGAAGATTTGAGATCATAGCTTTGAGGGCAAGAGGCTGCTGTGGAGACTGACATCAGCACCATGCCACCTCTCCACCTCCTGTCCAAGGGCCAAGTACAGCTCTTTTTACTAGCTGGTTCTAAACTCTCTAGAGCACTGGTTCTCAACCTTCCAAAGGCTGCAACCCTTTAATACAGTTCCTCATGTTATGGTGACCCCACACACACCATAAAATTATTTTCGTTGCTATTTCATAATTATAATTTTGGTACTGTTATGAACTGTAATGTAAATATCTGATATGCAGGATATCTGATATGCGACTCCTGTATAAGGATCATCTGACTCCCCCAAAAAAGGGTTGAGACCCGAAGGTTGAGAACCACTCAACCTTCTGGAGGTTTATCTATTTAGAATTATTTTTAAAAAATGTGCTGCTGTTGCTCCTTCACCCTAAGGAGGAACAAGGCCAAGTTTAGGGACTTCTTCCTGCTAAGGGAGCTCTTTGTGGCATTGCCTGGATATGCCAGGGCAGCATATCAAGACTGTCTCAGAATGTCCAGACAAATAAACCATACACAGACATAGACACATAGTGTTGAAAGAAATTAAAGATAAAAATAAATGGACAGACAATTTTTAATTAAGTGGAGGGGAAGATAGTATAAAGATATTAATGAGTCTGGTGGTAGTGGTGGCATACACCTTTAATCCCAACACTCGGGAGGCAGAGGTAGGCAGTCTCTGAGTTCGAGGCCAGCTTGGTCTCTAGAGAGAGAGTTCCAGGACAGCCAGAGTGACATAGTGAGACCCTGTCTTGAAAAAACAAAAAACAAAAAATAAAAACCAAAACCAAACCAAACTAAAACCCAAACAACTCCCACCCAAAAGAGAGTATAAATTGTAAGCCTTAGAAGAAAACAGGAGAAAAATCATATTGATTTAACAAGTATTTCTTGGATCTGACACCAAAAATACAAGCAACAAGAGAAAAAAAAAATAAATGTGACTTCATCAAAATGCAAAGTTTTGGTTGAGTGTGGTGGTGTACAATTATAATCATAGCACTCAGAGGATCCCAAGTTCTAGTCCAGCCTATGCTATATAATGAGATTCTATCTCAAAAAAAAAAAAACTTTTTATGTGTTAAAGAATATTTTCAAGAGAATGAAAAGTCAACCTACAAAAAGTAGAGGCAATATTTGCAAGTAATATATCTGTTAATGAATTAATATTTAGAATATGTAAAGAAACTTCAAAACTGAACCATAGAAAAAACCAAACTACCCAATTAAAAGAAATGGGCAAAGAACTTTAATGGACGTCTCTCCAAAGAAGATGCACAAATGGCTGGTAACTATGTGTTTACATGAACAGATGTTCAACATCACAAATTGCCAGGGAAATGCAAATCTAAACTCAGGATTCTACTTCACATTTGCTAGGATTACATGATTGATCTCAGTTCTGCTTCAAAGGCTTGGCTATTTACTCAGTGTTGTCCCATCTGGTAACAAAACCCAAGTTTGGATGTGGTGTTGTTCATCTTAGACAAATTCTGAAACTGCCCCATCATAACTCAGTTTATGAGAGAAGGCCCATCACCTTTTAAACAAAATTTCCTTGAATCCATATCTATTGTGCTAGTTTCTTGGTCAGCTTGACACAAACTAGAATCATCTGAGGAGAGGGAACCCATAGGATCAGGCATTTTCTTGATTAATGGTTGATGAGGGAGGGCCCAGTTCACTGTGGGTAAGCACTACACCTGGGCAGGTGGGCCTGGATATAAGAAAACAGGCTGAGCAAGCCATGAGGAGCAAAGCAGTAATTAGTGTTCTTCCATGGCTTCTGCTTCTGTTCCTGCCTTTAGGTTCCTGCCCTGAGTTCCTGTTCTGACTTCCCTCAGTGATGGAGTATGGCCTGAAAGATAGAAGCTGAAATAAACCTTTTCCTCCCCAAGTTGGTTTTGGTCACTGTGTTTTGTCACAGCAATAGAAATCAAACTGAGACATGTAGTGGTACTCAAATGATAGATAAATGGCCCCTGTATAAATAGGAACTGGACTTGTTTTTTATATAGTATTAGAACTCATGCATCCAAATCAAAGCTGTACTTACCAGCAGTGAAAGCATGTTTGACATATAGGATATATAGCTGGTTCCTAAAACTTGCACAGATGTATTCACTGGACTAATAAGAGTAATTGTTTTAGTTATCACTTATTTTTTCCAGAAAGAGTATCTCCGCTAGGCAGTGGTGGCGCATGACCTTAATCCCAGCATTCAGGAGGCTGAGGCAGGTGGATCTCTGTGAGTTTGAAGCCAGCCTGGTCTACAAAGTGAGTTCCAGGATAGCCAGGGCAACACAGAGAAACCCTATCTTGAAAAACAAAACAAAACAAAAGAGTATCTCTATCTTTTCACCCTTCCTTTTCATCATGCATGGTTCCAATAGACCCTTCACCACCAGACAAAGTTCAGCCACTCGTAGGTGGTGAGATTCCACCCTTCCGATGAGCATAGAACCAAATAGGAACTTGAGGCACTCTTAATCAGGGTCCACAGAAGGTACAAATGTGACAGGCACAGAGGCAGGCAGTGCTGGATCCTTGTGTATAAGATGAGGAATGGATGAAAAAGTACTTTAACATCACTAAGATTAAGAGCCAGATGGGACCGTATGGTGCCCTGCCTGTCAAGGAGTCTTGTAGGAAGGCAGCTGGTAAAGACAGGTAAAGACGGGCACCAGAAGGAATGGTACAAGGCCCCCTATCATTTTGAGCTGGAAGACAGTGAAGGCAGAGGCTCTGGAGAGGTAGAGGCCTCAGTCCCACAGGATCCTGCAGCCCAGGGCTCCTCAGAGGCAGAATAATGTCAGTTCACAAAGCCTCACCATGAAATGATCTGAGTGTGTAGTCCCTGCTTTTCCTGAGGTGTCTCAGTACCTCACTCTGGGGTCACACACAGAGGAGGCACATCTGTGGCTTTACTCTAGCAGCTGCCTCAGCAGGAGGCTCATCTTGAAGCAAGGGAACCTGACTGTGAGACTGTACTTTTGACCTTTCCAAGCCAGCCTGGTGAGAGAGAGAGAGGCTCCCTGGGCGGGGACACTTGAGCACATCACAGAACTTGGGTTATACACACCAAGCTTGCCCTTTGGTAAAGCCACAAGGGACACAGATTGGGAGGCTTTATAGAGGAAATACTAAATCAATGAAGCATCATTTCTAAGTTTGGTTTAGCGGCAGAATCCATTAACCTTATATTCACCCTCTCCCTTCCTCTAATAGTACCAGTAAGGGGTTCAAAGGCATGGCAACTTATTCTCAGGGTCAGCACGCTTATTTCAGTTACTGGGATTTTGAGATTTTCAACGAAATGATACTCTGATTAGAAGGAACAACCCCAAAAGAAGCCTCCTTTATTCTTGCTTCTCCGGAAAGCCACGCCTGCTGAAGCCACGAGGGAATGGAGGCTGACAAAGTACCTCAGTAAATTCTTATTTTTCTTTTCATAAAAGAATTTCCATCAAATGGGAACAAAGTTGTGTCTGGCTGATTCCGGGACCGAGGCCACTCAGTGTGGCCTCCCTTATTTAGTCTGGTCTCCAAGCCAGACAAGAGCAAAGTTCATTTCTTTTGACACGTAAATTGTCAAATCCTAAAATAAAACCTGATACTATGGTAGAAACCCAGTCCTCCAGGGAGCACTGGGCAAATCCTTCTTGCTAGCCATGAGCTGGGATGGATTAAAAACTAATACAACAGCGCCCGTGGTTGCAAAATGGTGAACTTCCCAGTGCCATGCTAATGGCCAGAAGCTGGAATGAACAGAATAAGGCAATCGTGCACATTCCACCATATCACCCTAATATTGTTGCCATAGCATTTGTTTCATTCAGGAAAGACTACCTGGACCTGGGCCAGGATCTCCTCAAGCCCTGACCCTGACAGCAGTGTTCATACTCTCGGGAGCATGGTTTCCTTCCCTACCCACCGCTGCCATCATTCAGTCCTCAGGCAGCCCTGCTGGGGCGCTCACAGAGGGTTGGCTTCTTGGCTGCCATATCTACACTTGGATGCTATATATACAGACTTCAGAGGCGCCGGCACTAGAAGGCCAAAGAGTACTGGTTTAGCATTTTGCATTCAGCGACATTCTTTTGGTGAGTCTGGGGAAGAAAACAGCCAAATTACCTCCCCAGTCAGCAAGTGTGGGCAGTAGCCCAGAGTTATCAGAACAAAGAAATAGCATTCAGGGCACTCCAGGCCAACTTGGAGAAAGAAGAAAATGGGGTTTCGGTGGGTAGGAAGCGCATTGGGTAACAGGTCCAGTAGTGTGCAGTGAACTTCCTGGATTATTGTTGCTCTCAGTGGGTAGGAGTAGCCTCTATGAAGCAGGTGTTCCACACAGCTGTTGGTGGCTCCTGCTTCAGCTTTCTGACATTCTTTGTGAATGTTAACTGCACAAGTTCCATTTCCATTGAAGAGACAAACTTTTAACTTCTTAGTCCTGCTTTATGGGTTCTTTTCTACAGCCCCTGTCTGTACCCTTCCCTTAAAAGGAAGGCAGCAGCTAAGTGTGGTGGCACATGCACTGAGTCCCAGCACTCGGGAGGGGGAAGCAGGTGGATTTCTGAGTTGGAGGCCAGCCTGGTCCACAAAGTGAGGTCAGGACAGCCAAGGCTATAGGGAAACCCTGTTTTGAAAAACAAACAAACAAAAACAAAGCCAAAAGGTAGACAGCAGAGCCAGAAGAAGGTTCAGAAAGTGCCCTCTGACCAGGCTACAGATCCAGCGCAGTCCTTTCTACAACTTGAAGGCAAAGTAAAGCCACATGGTCTAAATGCCATTTCTCAAGACTGACAAGGGCCTGAGTTGTCTCACACACCATTTTGGAAGCTAAGAGGAAGTAAATGATCAAGACACCCACATTGACAATCCAGCCTAGGTGCTCGCAGAGGATGGCCACACACTCTGGGTGGTGTGATACCTGTACCCTAGTGCCAAGGAGGAGGATGCATCTGCTCCTCACCACACAGTGACAGTCTCTGCATACAGGGCAGTGAGAGTGCACGCCTAGAGGAGAGTGCGGGGTCTGCCTCTCACCGCCCAGCAGCTATAGAGCGCACCAGCGGAGGCTGCAGACTACAGCAGTGGACTGTTTCACCATGAGGCTTTCCAGAATGGTGGCTGAGTACCTCCATTCGTCAGTTCAGAACCTTTGGGTGTGTGTGTGTGTGTGTGTGTGTGTGTGTGTGTGTGTGTGTGTGTGTTCTGGACACTCTCCAGAAAGGTCTCATGCTGGGGACTGCTAGCTTAGAGGAGGGAATGTGACCCTAGGCCTTCATCAGACCTAAATGTGTCGCGTCGCTCCCCAGTGCTAGACTCTGGTGATATGGTAGTGTTTCAGTCTAGGCGTCTTGATCAGGTTCGTTTTCTCTGCCAGTTAAAGAATTAAATGGCAGGAAAAACCTCAGGTGTGGCAGGTAGCAGTAGAGACGTCTCAAGCACTGCAAAAGGATCAGCATTTAAAGGACGTGGTTTATTGTGGATGAGGAAACACACATGGGTAGCCAACACACTGAGTGAAAGACTCCCTGCCAAGCAGAAGGGTTCTCGGAAAGTCAAAAATTCAGTCTCTTCTTGAGGGCTGGGTTATTTTATTTTTTTTTGTTTTTGTTTTTTGAGACAGAGGTTCTCTGTGTAGACCTGGCTGTCTTGGAACTCACTCTGTAGACCAGGCTGGCCTGGAACTCACAGAGATCAACTTGCCTCTGCCTCCTGAGTACTGAGATTAAAGGTGTGAGCCACCACCTCCAGAGGGCTGTATCAGCAGGGGGCCTGATGGCGGGAGACAAAAGCTGCCAGGCTTTTGTCTTAAGTAAGAAGGTTAAGGTAGAAGCCGCCATCTTGGAAATTCACTACCTTTATTACCTAGCCGTGGCCCCTATCCCTGTCTGTCTGTCTACCAGAGTCTGTCTAACGCCTGGTCCCTCATTAGAAAAAGGTGAAAGAGAGTATTCTTTGCTATCGTGGGGGCTCACAGCCCAGAGAAAAAAGGCATCAAGTAACTGAGGGTCTAGTTCTGATCCTGAGCCCATTTCTCCTGAGTCTTATGTTTCCTGCCAACAGACCCCAGTTTGATGTTCTCTCCAACCAGGGAGCCCATTGATCTAGCTATACTTTTTCTTCCTTTCTGGGTGATTTAAAGTGAATCAATCTCTCTCTCTCTCTCTCTCTCTCTCTCTCTCTCTCTCTCTCTCTCTCTCTCTCTCTGTGTGTGTGTGTGTGTGTGTGTATGTGTGCGTTTGGTTATGAATATGTGCATCTGAGTTGCAAATGCCCATGGAGGACTGAAGAGGGTGTTGGATCCTCTGAAGTGGGAGCTGTGAGCTGCTTGCTGCTTGACCTGGGTATTGGGAAGCAAACTGGAGTCCTCTGGAAGAGCAGTGATGCTGCCATAGTCCCTGTTCTATTGTTGTAAAGAGACACCACGACCAAGGCAACTTTAAAGAAAGCCTTTAACTGGGGCCTTGCTTACCGTTTTAGAGGTTCAGTCCATTGTCAGCATGGTGGGGAAATGGTAGCACACGTGTTGCTGGAGCAGTAGCTGAGAGCTGCATTCCAATCCACAGACCTAGAGAGAGAGCCTGTGTCTGATAGGACTTTTGAAACCTCAGAGTCCGCCCCCAGTGACACACTTCCTCCAACAAGGTCACACCTCCTAATCTTGCTCAAATACCGCCACCCCCTGTGACTAAGCATTCCAATATATGAGCTTCTGGGGACCGTTCTTGCTCAAACCACCACATGCCCTTTCTCCAGCCCCTGGATGATTTTTTTTTTTCTGTTTTTGCAAGACAGAGTCTCTCTGTGTGACCCTGACTATCCTGAAACTCTCTCTGTAGACCAGACTGGCCTCAGACTCCGAGATCCACCTGTCTCTGCCTGGGATAAAGGTGTGTGCCACCACTGCCCAGCTTGGATGATGTTTTTTAAAGTTGTTTTATGTATGTGTAACAAAATGTACCATTTTAGCCATTTTGAGCATACAGTCCTGTGGCATTAAGTGCATTCGCATTGTGCAACCACCGCTACCGTCCATCTCAAAACTCTCTCATCTTCCCAAACAGAAACTCTGAACTTACTGAACACAACTCCCCATTCTTCAGTCCCTCGCAGTCCCACTCTGCCTCCTGACTCCGATGGTGACTACCCTAGATGCCTCACAGGAGTGGGATCTTACATAGCTTGTCCTTTGAACCTGGCCTCTTTCACTCAGAGCGGTGTCTTCAAGGTTCACTGATGCTGTAGCAGGCGCCAGAGTTTCCTTCCTCTGTACGATTGACGAGTCTATTGTATGTACATTTTGTCTCTCCATTAACCTGTGGGTGGGTAACTAGTCAGCTTTCACCTTTAGAATAGTGTAGATAATTCTGCTGTGAACATAAGTTTACATGTGCCTCTGGGAAAGGAAGTACCCAAAACAAAATTTATGGATTTTATGCTTAGTTTTTTGAGGATCTACAATACTGTTTCTATAATATCTGTACTATTTTACATTCTGAATAGAGAAGGGTGACAGTTTCTCTGCATCTTTACCAACACTTATTATGTTTTTAATATAATAATTAGAATGGAGAGATGACCCAGTGGTTGTTAAGAGCACAGACTGCTCTTCCAGAGGACCAGGGTTCAGTTCCCAGCACCCATATGGTACCTAACAACCATCTGTGACTTTAGCTGCAGGGGATCTGATGCCTAGGTACTACATACATGTGGTACAAAGACATTCATGCAGGCAAAGTACTCAGAAACAATAAAATAAAATAAAATCTAAAAAAAAAGTTTTGGGGGCTAGAGGGATGGCTCAGTGGTTGGGAGCACTGGCTGCTCTTCCAGAGGACCCGGGTTCAATTCCTAGCATCCACGTGGCAGCTCAAGGCTGTCTGTGATTCCAGTTCCAGGTCACCCGACACCCATTGGCAAAAACACCAATGCACATAAAATAAAAATAAATTAAAAAAAATTTTTAAAAAAAGTTTTTGTTGTTATAGTAGTGTTAGGGACTAGACCCAGAGCCTCACAAATGCTAGGCAAGCTTTTTACCACTGAACTATGTCTCTAGTCCAAAGATACACAGTCCAGGACATCTCTAACTCATAATCTTGTTGCCTCATCCTCATCAGTATTTACCACAACTGGCTTATTGCAGTTTTGATCTGTATTTCCCTAATGTAAATATATTTGATTATATAGTTCTTATATGATCATTTACATAATATTATATAATGATATAAATATATTTCTTGTTGGGAGAAGTGCCAATTTGGATTCTTTCCTCTGTTGTTGTTGTCGTTATTTGTTTGAGATTCTATAGCCCAACCTGGCTTCAAACTCATGATCCTCCTGTCTCACCTTTCTTAGGATTATAGGCATATGCCATCATGTCTGGCACCCTTTCTCTCTCATTCATATATATATGAATATATATATAGAAGTTTTGTTGTTGAGTTGCAGGGTTCCTTATATTCTGGACATTTACATTTTATCATATGTATGATTTTTCAAAGACTTTCCCCCATTCTGTAGGTTGCCTTTCTTCTCTGTTTTCGTCTTTAATGCATGGAGAGGGCAGGGTTTGGTGTGCTGAGATTAGATCGAGGGTCTGTGAAGGAAGTTACCTGCTACTCAGCTCTGCCACTGAGCTGCATCTCTAGCCCCAGAAGTTCTTAATATGGATTAGTCTAGTGTCTTTAGTTTCCCTTTTGTTGCCTGTGCCGTTAGTGTTAGATCCATGAAATCATTGTCAAACTATGTGTCATGGAGCTTTACCTCTGCTTTCTTCTAAGAGTTCTATAGTTTTCAACACTTGTGTTCCCATCTTTAATAAATTTAGAGTTAATATAGTATAAGAAAAGTGTACAACTTCATCTTTTTGCATATGGAAAGCCATTTTTAAAACAATTATTTTACTATGTTTTGCCTGCATGCTTGTCTGTGTGCCGTGTGCATGCCTCATGCCTAGGGAGGTCAGAGGAGGCCATTTGATCTCCTGGAACTGGAGTTACAGGTGTTTGTGATGTGCCACGAGGATGCTGAGAATGGAACCTGGGTTCTCTGGAAGAGCAGCTAGTGTTCCCAACCACCATCCCTCCAGCCCCGAGAGCCATTTTTTCAATACCAGGGTTGTCCTTTCTCCATTAAATGATCAAAAGGTTGTTACATGTCAAGAACCAGCACCATGTGTTTCAGTTAATGAGCTTTATGTCATTGTGACAAATGGTGTCAGTTCAAGGTCAATTGGCTCTGTTGGTGGGAAATATGTGGGTGAGCAAAACTGCTCCCTATGGCATCCAGGGAGCAGAGAGTTTCCCAAATCCTTTCCAAGAGCATGTTCCTAATGACCTAGCTACCGTTCACACAGCTCAGCCTCCTACAGGTGCCACCACCTCCCAGTGGTACCAGAGACTGGCAACCAAGCTCTTAGCCTCAGGTTTTTGTGGAGTGGAGGGGTGGGGGAGGATTAAGATCCAAACCATGATGCCATACCCGCAGCAGCTTACAGGATTTTCCCTTCTTCCTTCTTCTCTTCTGAGATGCAGTTTTAACTACTGCAGTTGGTTTTTCATAGTTATAATAGCGGATATCTATCTGTAGAGGACAGGCTGTGTGCCAAGCTGTATTCTAAAGGCTTACACATATTAGGCCATTCTGATAGACTGTATGCTCAAGGCTTACCAGGTTTGCCACCTTCAGGCTGATTCACTTGCCCAGAGCTACACAACTAGTCAGTGGTGGAGCCTGTGTTCTAGCTCAGTGGTTTGGCCCTGGGATCTGGGGCCTCCAGTGGCTCAGGCCTCCTAGATACGGGATTTGGAGGCTGGACAACCTTGGGCTTAGAGTGCTCCTGGACATTCTCTTGTGAAAGCAGCAGCCCCAGAAGTGATGCTTCTGGTCTCTTTCCTTCCAGGGCTCCCTATTCCAGGAGATCTATAAAGCGGTTTCTTTCTAATTTCACAGAGAAGGCCACGGATGGCTCCCTGCAGAGTGAGGATTGGACACTGAACATGGAGATCTGTGACATCATCAATGAGACAGAAGAAGGGTATGTTTTCCTGGGGAACTTCTCCATTTGGGCAGGATGTCCTACACAGCTTGCCGGGGTTCAGTGTGGTGGGTTCAGCTCTGGTGGGTTGGTTTGTTTGTTTTGTTTTATTATTACTGTTATTTTCAAGATACTTGATTTGGCCTTAATAAGCTGAAATTCAGTAAGTTGTCTTTTTCCTTCCCACGCCACCCTCCCGCCATGTCCCCAGTGGCAGTGCTCCAGTTAGAGAAGTGACGTCTCCCTATCATCTGCTTTGAATCATGGGTAGAAATGGAGCTTCTTGGTTACCTGTATTAAACATCACCTCTCCCTGCTCTTCCTCAGACCCTGCTTCCATGTTACAGACACATGGGCCATCTAGACCCTGGGTTGCTTTCTAGGGTGCCATGGAAGAAGGCCCAGGGTGTAATCAGACCCAGGAATGACAGAGGGGCACCCATGGCTCAGAGTAGCTGAGCATGCCTAGCGTGGGTCGACTTCACCTGCGGCTTGCCCTCTTCCCTTTCTGCACCGCTGAGCTGCTTCTTGGTGTTGTTATGTGCCATATCCTCCTCCTCTAGAGCTCCACTGCTTTTGTACTCCTTATAGGCTAGTCTGGTTTGGGGTTTTGTCCACACCACAGACACCCCATTTACTCTTACTATGCTCTCTCCACTCCAGAGTGTTGAAGAGAACAGTTGGGACCCAGGCAGCCTAGGCTTGTACATTGGTGCTGTTACTAGTTACTAGAGAACTCACTAGTTCTCACAAGTCAGTCCTGATCCTTCATTCATCAGACCCTTACAGTGTCTGCCTTTTGCCAACACAGTTGTCAATAAGGAGGGCACAGCAGTGAGCAAGACACAATCCCTCCCATTGGGGAGCTGCTAGACTGGAACAGGGAGGCAAAATGTAAACAGGACAAACCACATAAGCTGATCAGGTGGGCTGAGCACTATGGGGAGGATCTGGGCAGAGAGGTGGCATGGTGTGGCTTTAATTTTGAATAGTCATCCCATGTTCAGAATGGGCTCACCAGGGCAGGCCAAAGACAGAGCAGATAAAGATAAACCAGTAGGGGTTTATTACAGTCATCCTGTTGTGGATTGATGGTAAGCTGGATTGGAATGGAGGTAAAGATGAGGGGAGGTGTCATTAGATTCTGGTGAGATTCAGAAATTAAAGCTATAGAATTTGCTGAGGTGGGATTTGAGCAAAATGTCAAGGGTAACATCATGGTTTGGGACCTACAAAGCAGAGGGATGGAGCCGCTAGTGCTGAGGTGGGGCAGGCAGAGAACAGCTCTTGATCTGAGCTTAGGAGATTGTGTGACCCACCCACTAGGGCTCATCTGGGGGTGCTGGGGGCTGTGGCCCGGCCTGTGCCCAGTATGGCCTTCCCCAGGGAAAAGTGCTGCAGATGCCTTCTAAAGGGGCCGGGGGTGAGCTCGGCTTCTGGACTGGCAGGAAAGAAGTGTGACTTGTACTCAGGGTGGCATAAGAAGGGATCCAGGTGGCCTGGGTCACGTGGTGAAGAGGGAGTGTTGGGAAGAATGGCTCGGGTTGGCTTTTCTTCTGCACATTTCCCTGAGAAGTGTCTTTGTTCCTCCCTCTACCTCCCATGCAGTTCCCGACGCATATTTCAGCAGGTGACTTGCTCACTAGCAAGCTTTCCAGAGCATTCTTTAAGTTTAGCATAAAACCCTCAACCACACACCTTTGCAGCCCTTCTTCAGACCCTTCAGCCTCATTAATTTTCTTTTAGCACCTTGAATTCTCACATTTTTGTCCCCACTCAAATATCTGATGTGCACTGAGCGCAGAAAACCCAAGAATCCTGGGATCTTCTTTCACGGTGTGAGAGACTGGGGACCTGCTTTCTCAGTCACAGCTCACCGAAGACCTGGCTGCCCATTTCCCAGTGGGCTAACCTCTTGTTCATGTGTGTTGGAATGACAGTGCGTGATTCTTGAAGAGTTTGTGTGCTTGCCTCTGTTGTAAGGTGTCTGATGAAATCCCTCCCACATGGGGGAAGAGAAAACAAAACACCACACACACACACACACTCACATTCACACACACACACACACACACTCACATTCACACACTCACATTCACACACACACATATACACACACTCACATTCACACATTCACATTCACACACACATACACACACTCACATTTACATACACTCACACACACACACTCACACACACATACACTCTCTCACACACATACACACTCACATTCACACACACACACTCACATACACACATACACTCTCACACACACACATGCTCACACACACACATGCTCACACACACACATGCTCACACACACATACACTCACACACACACACACACACACACACACACACACACACACACTCACACTTCCTTCTCCTTCCTGTTCCTGGCCGAGGGCTCCTCAGTGCTGTTGTCATGTTTCTCCAGCCGGTCTTCCTGTCACTATGTGCTTCCCGTCAGTTATTAGATCTCAACACAAATTTCACTGTTGACCCTTCCCTCTAGACTTGTCATATTGTGTGGTATTATACTTGGGCTACAAATCTTTGTGATGCCTTTTCATGTCTGCCTTGCCCCACAACCTACTAATCTGTACACTTCATGAGGGTAGGAATTCCATATGTTACACTCACTATTTCATCTCTCCCACAACACAACTTACACATTCTCTCTCTCTCTCTCTCTCTCTCTCTCTCTCTCTCTCTCTCTCTCTCTCTCTGTGTGTGTGTGTGTGTGTGTATGTGTGTGTCTGTCTCTGTCAGTCTCTGTCTCTCTTTCTGTGTGTGTGTGTGTGTGTGTGGTCTCATGTATCTGAGGCTGACCTCAAAGGTGCTATATAGACCTCTAATTTCTGATCCTCCTGCTTTACCTCCTGAGTATTAGGATTATGGGTGTGCGTTATCACACCTGGTTTATGCAGTGCTGGGGACCAAACCCAGGACTTCGTGTATGCTAGGCAAGCACTCTACCAATTGAGCCACATCTCAGCTCCATAATCAGCTCTTAATAAATATTTTAAAGTGTGTAAAGAATTGATGAAGTCCCTAAGGCAGTCTGACGAGAATGCAAGCATGTAAATATAATCATAACACAGCATGACAAGGACTGAGACAGAGACAGAGAAACAGAGCAAGAAAAGCTGCATATAGCTACAGAGACAGACATGTGCAGGGACTCCCAGCCAGCCTGGGGGTGGTCTGAAGCAAAAGCCTTTTTTGAAGGAGGTGATACTTTAGTAGACTCTTACAGTATACTTGGATTTTAGCAAGACGAGACAGGTGGATGACAGGGAGAAAGGTGGAACCTCTAGGCTAGAAAGCAGTGTGTGTATCAGGTGCATGGGAAGCATGGCAGTGTGGATTAGGGGTGTGGAGCCTGGTGCCATCTACCTGGGCTAGAAGCTTATGTCACCACTCACTTACATAGCCCTGAGTGTGTTCCATCTCCCTGTGCCTCAGTTTCATCACACATAAAAATGGTTTGCCAATAGTGCCCATCTCATAGAGTTATAGTGAAGATTAGAGGGATAAATAATCCCCATATAGTGGGTGTAGTGTAGAGCAATAATGGGCAGGCTCTGATGAGGATCCAATGGTCTGGATCATTTCACAACCATTTTCCCAGCTCACTGAGTCCTTACACTGCAGCCCCTAAGCCAGAGTAACGTGGAAGATCCAGTCAATGCCGTAGAGAGGAGGCGTGCTGAGGGGGTGTGTGTTCTGGAGAAAGCTGTGGCTGGAGACATGCTGTGCAGCTGTCTGAAGAGCTCCCCACGCTGGAGAGGAGGGCTCGCAGGAGTCTGATAGGGGTGTGGGCAGCCAGACTGTTCTTGAGGCCCTTGGGGCCCCACCTTTCTACCGAGAGCTCCTGGTACTTGGCACCTCTCACACAAGCCCGTGTTTCCCTTGACTTAGCAGTTGTCCCTTCAGCCTTTGGTAGCTCCTTTAAATTTTGTGGTTTCTCCAACCCGACAATAATGCTCTACTCTGACACTTCTCCCTCAGATCAGCAGAGAGAAATGCTTCTCTTTTGTTCTCAGGTAGCACTAACTGAAGCATAGCTCTTAGGAAAGGATTTTCAGCTTAAACCTAACCAGCCTGCCTGCTATCTGATTGCCCTCCACCCATAATCTGGGAGTGCCGGCATACTGTCAGCCAGAAATACACCATCCTCCAGGGTAGTGCCTGTTTTTCTCATCATGGAAATCTAAGAAGAGATGAAAGAGAGCACGTAGAGAGAGGGTACAGCTTGTCAGCCTGGGACAATGGTGAGCAGAGCCTGCAGAGAGGAAGTCAGTCTTCTCTAGCCATTAAGTTGCCTGCTCTCTTCAGCCCAGCCCATCCACGCAGATAGCTGCTCAAATGCTGTATTTATAAAATCTGCATCCCTGTGGAAATTACTCATATTGTATGTCTTAGATGGGGTTTCTATTGCTGCAACAAAACACCGTGACCAAAAAGCAAGTTGGGGAGGAAAGGATTTATTTGGCTTATACTTCCACATTGCTGTTCATCACTAAAGGAACTCAGGACAGGACCACAAACAGGGAAGGATCCTGGAGGCAGGAGCTGACGCAGAGGCCATGGAGGAGTGCTGCTTACTGGCTTGTTCAGTCTGCTTTCTTATAGTACCCAAGACCACCAGTTCAGGGATGGCACCACCCACCATGGGCTGGGCCCTCCCCATTGATCACTAATTGAGAAAATGCCTTACAGCTGGATCTCATGGAGGCAATTCCTCAACTGAGGCTCCTTCCTCTCTGATGACTCTAGCTTGTGTCAAGTTGACACACAAAACCAGCCAGTACTGTAGAACCCTTGGTTTATCACCCATTCCTGTCTCCTCAGCCCTTAGACTCAGACTCCAAGAACTCAGGTAGAGCAACTGTGTTTTAAGTTGGAGATAGGAAATAAGAGGTTTGAGTCTTGACATTTTTTTTTATTATGTGTATGTATTTGTATCTCTGTGTGGGCACTGCATATAAATGTGGGGAGTCCAGAAGGGCTGGGCCCTCTGGAGCTAGAGTTACAAATGGTTGTAAGCTGCTGACTAAGTACCCACCAGATGTAAGTACTGGTAACTGTAGCTCAGTCTTCTGCAAGAACAGTACATGCTGTTAACAGTGGAGCCTCTCTTTAAGTCCAGTTTGAGTTATTTGTTTAAAGCTCCCTTCCAGAAGCCTTATGGCTTTCTCTTGCTATGAGGCTGACTAGCAGAGCATCTATCCTTCTCTGCCTTAACTTCTTCATGCATATTTGAGAGAACATTTTTGTGTATGAGACAGTACACATGTTAGAAGCACAGGAGTGAGAGCCCTGACCTCCAGACATTTGCTTAAGGGAACGCCAAGGCCAGCGACATGCCTGTGGTTGGCTGGAGCGCACTGGGACAGCAAGGGGGGCTGAGTCATACGGGAGTTCTAATCTCTGTTTGTGAAGAACTACTGATCCCCATAGTGGACTAATGTACGTTCCTACCAACAGCATGTCAGGACTCCACCCCTCCCAACCTTTCTAGCATTTTTTGTTTCTTTTTATTTTAAATTGTATTTTTATTAGTATTGCGTTGTGTGCATCGCACACACATTCCACAGTGAGCCTGTGGAAGTTGGACAACAGCTATGTGGAGTGTGTCCTCTCCTCACTCTTTTATGTGGGTTCCAGGAATTGAAGTTAATTTGTTGGTGTACACAGCAAGTGCCTTTACGCACAGAGCCATCTCGTCGGCCCTGTTTTTTCCCCAGCAATAGTCGATCTGACTCAGGTGGGATGGAATCTCAATGTCCTTTTGATTTGTTTCCCTCGCAGCTAAACATGTCAAACATTTATTCATGTAATTATTGGTTGCTTATGGTTTTTCTTTTAAGAACTGTCTGTTTGGGTCATTTGAATGATTTTTTTCTCTGTTGTTTTTGTTTATTTATTTGTCTGTTCTAGATTAATTAATTTCCTCTAAGATGTATAGCTGGCAAAGATTTTCTCCTATTCTAGAGGCTGTCTCTTGACTCTGGTTATCATTTCATTTACTGTGCAGAAATGTTTTAAATTTCGTGCAATCTCGTTTGTAAATACTTGTAATTGTTAAAACTCCTGCCTGTGACAGTCTCTTGAAGGACGTCCCCTGAGCTTCCCACTGGTAGTCTCAGGTCTCCCTTTACGGTCTTTGATCCATTTTGAGCTGATCTTTGTGCAGGGTGAGAGACAGAGATTGAGTTTCATTCTTCTACGTGTGGATATCCAGTTTCCCCGGGCCGTTTGTTGAAAATGCTGGCTTTTCTCTAGTGTGTGTTTTGGGCACCTTTGTCAAGAATCAAATGTCTAGCCAGGCGTGGTGGCGCACACCTTTTATCCAGCACTCAGGCGGCAGAGGCAGGATCTCTGAGTTTGAGGCCAGCTTGGTCTACAGAGCGAGTTCCAGGACAGACAAAGCTACACAGAGAAACCCTGTCTTGAGAGAAAATAAAGAATCAGGTGCTGTATGTGGTGGGTTATTCTAGGTGTGCGGTATCTGTCAGTGTGTGTCTGGTTCAGGGCTGTTCTTATTCCCACAGCTCTGCAGTCATCTGGACCTGGGAATTCTAACACTCTAGCATTGTTTGTTTTTTCTTCCCCCAGGACTGCTTTGGCTACCCAGGGCCTATTAGGATCATTTTTCCTGTTTCTGCAAAGAATATTATTGGAATTTTGATCAGGATTACATTGAATTTATAGATCATGTTAGACAATAGAACTTTTTTCATGATATTAACTCTGACAATACATGAACATGGGGTTCTTTCCATCTTCTAGTGTCTTTCATTTTTTCCTCAGTGTTTTTATTATAGAGATCTTATGCTTCATTGTTAGAACTATTTCTGTTTTGTATTTAAGGCTACTGTGAGTTGAATTGTCCTTTTTTTTTTAGCATGTTCACCATTGCCTTACTATAATTTTTTTTTTCTAGACAGGGTTTCTCTGTGTAGCTTTAGAGCCTGTCCTGGAACTCGCTCTATAGACCAGGCTGGCCTTGAACTCACAGAGATCCACCTGGCTCTGCCTCCTGAGTGCTGGGATTAAAGGTGTGTGCACCACCACTGCCCGGCGTTGCCTTACCATAATTTTTAAAATATTGACTTTGTAGATGATACTTTACTGAAAGCATTGTTAGATCTAAGAGTTTTCTGGCAGTCTTCAGGGTCTTTTTAGTTTTTGTTGTTGGTGTTTTTTTGTTTGGTTAGTTTTTTTTTTTTTTTTTTTGAGACAGGGTCTCACTATGTATCCCTGGCTGACTTAGTACTCATTCTGTAGACCAGGCTGGCCTCTAACTCACAGAGATCCACCTGCCTCTGCTTCCCAAGTGCTGGGGTTAAAGGCATGCACCATCACGCCTGGCCCAGGATTTTATATATAAGATCATATCATCTCCAAAAAGAATAATCTGACTTCTTCCTTTCCTATTTGTATCTAGTTTGTTTCTTTTTGAAAATCCAAGTACTATACTGAATGAGTCCAGAGAATGTAGACATCTTTGTCTCAATACCGATTTTAGAAGAAATGCCTTCTGGTTTTCTCTGTTCAGTATGATGTTGTGTGTAGATTTATTACATATACAGCCTTTATTTTGTTGAGATATGATCCCTCTATTCCTGCTTCTTCAGGGTTTTTTCAATGAAAAAATGTTGAATTTTGTCAAAGGCTTTTTCTTTTTCATCTATTGAGACGATCATGTGATTTTTGTCCTTGATTCTATTTATTCTCATGCATATGTCTTTTAAGTTTGGTCCATAAAAATGTACAACAAGTTTCTTTACTCTTCTTTGCAGCTGCATCAAAGCCATGCTGTAATTAGGCCTGCTTCCTTTTGTAGACGTGTGTATTTCTCCAGTCCCTTCCCTTTACAAACGAGTTGCGGTGAACGACCTTGACACCTGTGCTGGTTCACACTGGGCTAGTGCCCTGATGAGGCTTGTGGGTCATAGCAGATCCGTCCTTTTCACAGGCCAAAGGACGCCATTCGAGCACTAAAGAAGCGTCTCAGCGGGAACCGGAACTACAGAGAGGTGATGTTGGCCCTGACGGTGAGTATCGTTTCCCGGCAGTGAGAGCTTAGGACACGTACACAGGCTCAGTCTTCCTAGGAGCCCCTGTGCCCACTCAGATGGGCTTCCAGCGCGTGTTGTCGTGGTTCAGCAGCATCTTCCAAGGGACCCTTGGAGTCCCCGCCCACCTCTGATGCAGGAGGCGAGTGCAAGTGGGCTAGATGTATACCAGGAGAAGATAAGATGTGGGTGACATGGTTGTACCCAGCAACAGTAAATAGAAGCCCAGGATAGAAGAGTCAGAGGCCAGGCCAGGTCTCATTCCTGCTATCAGCCTGTTTGAGATACTCGGAGCCAGTTTCCTGTGTATAATGTTCACTCTTATCTGTCCAACACCTGCCCAGGATGGCGCTTTTAGAATGTTGATGGGATGTTTACAACTACCTTCTAAAGTGGGTTCATTACTTCTCACAGTTGAGGAGACTGGCTCTGAGAGGCCTTTCGAGTTTTACCTTCACAGCTGTGGTGTGCCATCATAGATCGGTCTTTTGTTTGGGATAAAAATGAAAATAATACAAAGGGTCTTGAAAAAGTCAGCCAAGTGACTCCTTTCAGGGCAAATAGATAAGAATTGTGACCTTCCTTAAGATAGAGAGAACTAAAAAGGGTATTTCAGGTGCTATTTCTGTCTTGAAAGCTAACAGTTTCTCAGATGCCTTAAAATCTGGGCCACGGTGACTTTTATTAGAAACTGTAACAAGTCACCATGTCAGCTCCTATAGGTGGGAAGTGGGTTATTTATCTCAAACTGTCACAACATGTTTCCTTGTAAGATGGAAGAGCCATTGTGATCTCCCCTGCCCCCCAAAATAAAGTCCAAAACTTAATAGGAAACCTCTCTCAACCAGGGGTTGGGATTTACAAAGAAGAAAGTGTCAGTTGAGAAGCAGGTGAAAGCTTAATTTTTTTTTTTTTTTTTTTTTACCTCAACACTGATGGAGACCAGAATGGAACACAAATCACCATTTTTAGTGACGTCATCACTGGGGCAGCTCTAGCCTTTGTCCCTCTTTGTGCCGGTTTCATGGTAACCACTGTAGGTGGGAAGCTGCTTTTCTCTTTCTCTTTCTTTCTTTCTTTCTTTCTTTCTTTCTTTCTTTCTTTCTTTCTTTCTTTCTTTCTTTCTCTTTCCCTCCCTCCCTCCCTCCTTCCCTTCCTTCCTTCCTTTCTTTCTTTCGTTCATTTTTTTTCAAGACAGCTCTGATTGTCCTGGAACTCTCTCTGTAGCCCAGGCTGGCCTCAGATTCACAGAGATCCGCCTGGCTCTGCCTCCCACATGCTGGGATTACAGGCGTGCGCCACCACCTCTGCCCATGGGGCTGGTGGGAAGCTTTTTAAGTGACTGCGTTCCCTTGCCTCCCTACCCACACATTGCTTGGCAGCCATCGTTTGGCCTTCCTGGTAACCAGGTCTTTTCTGCAAACCCCTTGTGAGGCCTGTGGAACGCAGAGCTGTTGTCCTTGTACCTGGGTCCCCTCCTGGCACACGTGGCATGGTTTTCTGTTTGCCATGACGGCTTCACTTGTTAGCTGCTGTCAGCCCTGCTCCTTCCTGTGGCCCTTTCCCAGATGCACATCTGTCTCTGCCTAGGCCGTTGGTATTTATCCAGTGGAGCTAGCGATCCCCAGGGCTCTCCGCTTGAGCCTTCACATGTGTGTTCCTAACATCTGCTTCTCATTGCTTGGAGGTCCCCTTTGTTTACTCCATGAGTTTTGGCTGTATCTCAGAAAGTTGCCACTGAGTTTCATTCCTGAAAACCCACAAAGTCAGGTTTGCTAAGAGCCTTTTTGGAAGGGTAGCTTGAAGTGGCCTTGACAGAGAGGAATTCCCGTGCCTTCTACATGTAGAGGCTTTGAGTTGTTACAAGCACATGTGCACAGGGTATTTTCTGAGGCTGGGATAGACACACTAACCTTAAGATCTGCTGTCTGGGAGAACTGAAGGAGAGAAGAGTGTTCTGTCCATGGTCTCCCTAGAAACAGGTCAGAGCCCAGGGTTGACCTCAGCCTGCTCCTCTGCTCCTGGTTATTTTCACCCAGGCCAACTTTCTGAGCCTCCTACTCTGCTGGTTCTCTCCAGCCCCTCAGGAAAGGAGGGCTCAGCAGCCCAGCAGCCATCACCAGAATCTGGAGAATGAGTAGAGAATCCTAGAGAAAAAGGTACCCTGCAATATGCCTGGGGACAGAAAGAACTTCTCCGGTTCCTTTTGGTAGCCCCCATGGTCCCTGAGAGTGAGAGCTTTTATCTCATGGTCACCCAGAATCAAACAAAATCAGAGATTAAGAAAGGGAAATTCTTCTTAGTTGAATAAAATTTGTGGTTCTGGGGCTGGAGAGATGGCTCAGCAGTTAAAAGCACCAGCTGCTCTTGGAGAGGACCTAGATTTGGTTCCCAGCACCCACATGATGGCTCACAACCATCTGTAACTCCAACTCAGAGAATCCAGTGTCTTCTTCTGGTCCCCATGAGCACTGCACACACTTGGTGCATAGACATACATGCAGACAAAACACCCATACACATGAGATAAAAATACATAGCAGTTGTGCAGAAGTCCCAAAGATTATGAGTTTACAATGCTTCCTGGGTGTACCAGGTAGAACGTGGAGCCTCCAGAAGTACAGCAAGAAAAGAAGGGAAGGGTGACTTGGGGTCCGCAGAGCTGCTGGGTCTCCTAGGTGAAGTTCCACGATACAGCAGGCTTCAACTTCGACATCTCAAAATGGCTTGATGCCTTCTTCCAGAGTGAGCTCAAGGAACGAGAGAAGGACAGATAATCCAGAACACAGCTCTTGTTTCTGAGGGCCTCACAGCTGATGTGGCCACTTGGAAGAGAGCTCAAAGGAGGGACGCCTTGGTGTCCTCAGCTGGGTCAGGAGGTCAGGGCTCCTGAGAAGGTGAATCAGAGTTCCTATCCTGGGCTGATGATGGAACTTAGTGGTAGAGTGCTTGCCTACCGTGCGCAAGGCACTGGGTTCAATCTCTAGCATTACAAAATAGGAAAAAAAAGAATGTCCACCCTGCCTCCAGGTCGGTTCTTCCTTCCTAAGCCTCTCAACTTTGAAAACTAAGGTAGCAGGGTGTACTTGAAGGGACTGTAGTAGTTGAGAGAGTAGAATGAAGTTATATGTAATATGGAGGGATCTCACTGTACTTGGATGTAGCTGGCACGAAGTCTGTGTCATAATTGTGAACCTTCTGGTCTGCACAGGCCTATGGCAGGAACCACTTAGGGAGCAACTTCATAAGCTAATTCATGGTCACCCAGGAGTGACAGGTGGTTAGAAGTGTCTCTTGTTGCTGGCGCTGTCCTTGTAGGAGGCATCCATTAGCAGGCCCGGAGGAGGTGCCTTGGGAAGGGTCAGGTGACTTGTGTTTGATGTTGGAGAGGCCCTCCCAGTCCTTCCAGTCCTCCCAGTCCTCTCCTGGGGACATGTAAAAGGCTATGGATACAGCAGCCTTCTGAAGTGGCATCCCATGTCCCTAGTGGTTGCTTACCCTGTGCAGGATGCCGAAGTAGTTGACATATGTCCTCCCTGCAAGGGAGAGTTCATTGCTCCCACTTTCCAGATGAGGACACAGAGGCTGTGTGAAACCTGTCCTGGACCATCAGGGAGGAAGTAGCAAAGCTAAGTTTCTAACTCCCACTGCCACCTGATGAGAGCCTATCAGCCATCCTTTCCAAGCCATTGAGGCCTGTGGACCTCCCCAGATTAGAGAGCAGTGAACAGGGTCGCACTGAAGAAGGAGGGACTTAAAACTGACTGGCAACTGAGGTCCACATTTGTCAAGGGCTGCCATCCATTGTCATTGCTGATTTTACCCACAGAACAGGAGTATGTTAGGGTGTGTATTTGCTTCCTCACATTCACCAGGCAATTCGAGCTCTCCCAGCAGCTTCCTCTTGTGACAGAGCTTGCTGGCCAGGACCTCACACCCTGGCCTAGAGAGAATAATTAAAATGTTAATTTTCAGGGACCTCTCAGTCATTTTGATACCATTAGAAATCCAGTATCCTTCTTGTGCAAAACCCCCGTTTCAGTACTGTGTTGGGACAAGAGCTTTGTGCCGGGACAGGGGCTGACAGTCAGCGCAGCACTGTCATTCTCAAGGACCGGGGATGACCGAGTTAGTGTGGGGATGCGCGAGGGTTGGCTTAGAGGGCATGTCACAGGAAGATGATCTGGAAGCATGACTGACAGGTGAGGATCTCAGCTACCCTCCCCCATCCCCAGTGTGGTGACCTCCTCCCACCCCCACAACTTCAGGTGCTGGAGACGTGCGTGAAGAACTGTGGCCACCGCTTCCACCTCCTCGTGGCCAACCGAGACTTCATCGACAGCGTTCTGGTCAAAATTATCTCTCCCAAGAATAACCCTCCCACCATCGTCCAGGACAAAGTGCTGGCTCTAATTCAGGTGAGCTGGCTTCCCTCCCCCGTTGGTTGGGTATGAAGATGGGGACTGTGGTACATGCTCATGCTTTCCCATTATTTTGGAGGAAAAGCTACAGATTGGGGGTTTAAACATCTGTTGCAAAATACTGGTTTTCTTTATACTCACCTCACTGGAAATCCTAAGCGGTGGCTCTCTTGTTACAGAGCCTCCAGGAAGCTTCTGAGTGCCCAGCCTTCTGTTGTCCAGACAGGTGGGCAGTGTGGGGGGGGCGTCAGCAGGCCTCTGAGATAACGGGGTGAAGCGGAGATGAGTAGAGTAGGAAGGGCCGTGTTAGAGTCATGTACCAGGAGAGCGAGGTCACAGAGCAAGAGCCAGCTCCGGAGTGGAAAAGGTGGTAAGGGATGCTTCACTGAAGAGGTGACATTTCTGTGGACCCTGAAAAGTGGGGAGGAGTGTGGTGGGAAAACCAGAGTGCAGGAGGCATCTCAGGAAGAAAAGAGCTGTGCGGAGGCCCAGAAGCATCAGAGAACAGTTATCCATACTTGAGATATACCCAGATATTTAATATTACAGGCTCTGTAACAAATCAGCCCAAGTCTCACAGCAGCTCATAGCAAGAATGTTAACCTTTTCCCTGGCTTCTGTGGAGCAGGCATGCGGGTGTGGTCTGATGGGAGATTATAAATGTACCCTCTGAAGGCATTACTGGGACTGAGTACTCCATTTCCAAGATGGTGCCCCCGACATGGCGGGTGGAGGGAAGCTTCCTTTCCTTGATGATGTGACAAGAGACTTGTGTTTTCCAACACACAGAAGTCACACATCACCTTTTCTATCATTCTGTTTATTAGAAAGGAGTCACCAGGTTAAGCTGCAAGAATTGGGGAATTAAGGCATGAGGTGAATATGTGAGCATATTTTGAATATTGTGTTTGGAGAGCAGGGTGTGGTATAGACTGTCCAGGGCTGTGCTTAAGGGGGGCAGATAGTCAGGAAGTGAGGCCAAAGGATGGGTAAGGCTTGTGGGTTGTGTGTATTGAGGGCCTTGGGTTTGATCCTTAGAAGTAATAGGGGAGCCATTGAAAGTTTCTGTTCTGGGTTGTACACAGATTTTAGACAAAGCACCCCACTGGTGTGGCATCTGAATCCATAAGCATAACCAATATGGATGACTAATGCATGCCTGCAAGAGCCAAGAGGAGAGGCAGACCAAGGCAGAATGGGAGCATGGCTCCAGCAGGGGCAGCGGCTGGTCGCCAAGCTTAAAGGTCTGGCAGACAAGCAGAGTAGCCAGGGAATGGGCCCGGGGGCTGTAGGGTCATTGCATATGAGGCTGGAGTGGAGCCTGTTGCTCTGTCTAGAGAGTTCTCCCAGATCCTAGAGCACTTAGCTCCTCCTAGTAGTTCAGATGTGCCCAGAGGACTGATAGCACCATCCTGAAGCACACATGTCTGCTCTCTTGCTCGCGTCCCCTTGTGATCTTCAAGTGCAGCTTTGCTATCTTTTCTGTTCAACTCAGTTGGTTCCCTGAAAGCCCTGGAATGCTGTAGCCCTGGGGTCTAGACCAGTTGATTGGTGGTATTGAATAGCATTTTTTTTTAGATTAGTGGGTAAATGTTGTTCACTGAGTCTGGATGATAGAATCCTCTCCCACGCTTCCTTGAGCCCACATTTTGCATCCCCTCCCTCAGACCTGGAGTATACTCCCCCACTTCCACATCCACTCCCATAGCCTCTTCCAAGACCAGAAACTTCTAGGAAATGAATGGTAGCTTCTTCTTACAAAAGGTAGAATGTAGCTAGAGTTTTCCTGGTCCTGCCTGGCCCACGGTCAGGACAAATCTCTCTCACCCACCAGTCCCGCAGCTGCTCAGACCCAACCAAGTAAACACACAGAGACTTATACTGCTTACAAACTGTATGGCCGTGGCAGGCTTCTTGCTATCTAGTTCTTCTATCTTAAATTAACCCATTTCTATTAGTCTGTACTTTTCCACGTGCCTTGTGGCTTACCAGTATCTTAACATCTTCTCATGGCGGCAGCTGGCAGCGTCCCCGCCTCAGCCTTCCACTTCCTAGAATTCTCCTCTCTCCTTGTCCCGCCTATACTTCCTGCCTGACTACTGGCCAATCAGTGTTTTATTTATTAACTAATCAGAGCAACACATTTAACATACAGAACATCCCACAGCAGTAGGACACCCCAGCTTAAACTCTTTATTCAGGGTCTGGTCTCTACAAGGTCCACACTGGCTACAGAACAGGAAGGAGACATCTTCAGGGAGAGAACATGCCATCCTGAGGCCTGGCCAGGCTCCAGGGTAAACATAGCTAACTTGGTATGATCTGCTGAGGGCAGACAGAACCCTCTTCGCTGGCTGGGTCCCCCAGTTCTCTGTTTCTTCACGCCTGCCTGACCTTAGAGCTTTCTCACCAGTCCACTACTTCCTGGCTCAGGTCCTACCATACTACTTCTGACCTTGGGCTGGAGCAGTGGCCTCTGGACATCTACCCCACCTATAAAACAAGGGCTGGGTTTCTGTCTTCTTGTTCTTGGACGTGTAGCACAGGGGTCCGCCTGGCTCCCCAGGCCTCCTCCTATGGGCTTAGCAGCAGCAATGTACACTAACCTGAGGTCCGAGGGCGTGAGTGAGCTATAGTTTGGTAACCTTCCTAAGGGACGCGGGCACTCTGTGTTTAGAGTTGCTGCTGGAGCCCCCAGTGTATGTCTTTGGGGAGCATGTGCATTTGTTTCTATTAGGTATGCATTGAGTATGCGACACTGGCAGTTTCACTTCAGTGCCTGAGGGAAGGTGTGGGGGTCAGGAGGTGCCACCACTTCTAGCTGTCTCCCTCCCTCCCCAACAGCCAGTTTCTGTCATTGCGGCCCATTTGATGAGCTTGGGGAAGTGCTTTACTGTGTCATCTTTAACCCTTTGGGGAAAAGATCATCTTGTTGGCATGTTGACTATATAGATGACCCTCAGTGTTCATGGGTTAACTGTGATCTCAGCCAACCTTCGTTGGAAACTATATGGAAGAACAAAATAGCTTCTGTACCAAACATGCACAGATCTTTCCCTTGTCATCACTCCGTAAGCTGTTCCTATAACATTGACACTTTATTAGTAGTAGGAATAACCCCCTAAATTAGAAGTCTGGGGATTATTTAAAACATGCAAGAATATATGCATGTGCTGTGTATAAACACTGAGCTAGCTCATGAAGGGACTAATGTATCCACAGACCTTGGTATCCTAACAGATCCTGGAACCAATCCCCTTGTGGATACTAGGAACAACTATCCTTTTAAAAATGGAACAGGCCAGGCAGTGGTGGTGCACACCTTTAATCCCAGCACTAGAGAAGCAGAGGCAGGTGAATCTCAGTGAGTTCAAGGCCAACCTGGTCTATAAAGTGAGTTCCAGGACGGACAGGACTGTTACACAGAGAAACACTGTCTTAAAAAAAAAAAAAAAAGCCAGGTGTGGTAGCACACACCTGTGAGCTCAACTGGGAGGTAGAATTGAGAGGATAAGGCATTCAAGGTCAACCTTGGCTATATAGTAAGTTTGAAGCTAGCCTGAGCTCTACATGAGACCCTGTCTCAAAACAGTAACAATAACAAAACTGAACCAGTTTCCCAGAGAATGATAAATCCCTCTGAGAGAGAAAGTATTGCTCCCCGCATGGTAGGAGTGTAGGAACAAGGGTTGGGTGTGTAGCTAATTGGTAGAGCACTTCCTAGCACACAGTAGGCTGTGGGTTCTATTTCTCCCTGAAATAAATGGGATAGATCCAGGCATGGTGGCACATGTCTTTAACCCTAGCACCCAGGAGGCAGAGGCAGGCAGATCTCTATGTGTTGAGGCCAGCCTGGTCTACATCGAGTTCCAGGATAGTTGGGGCTACATAGTGATGCTCCATCTCAAAGAAAGAATAGAATAGAGAGGTGACAGTCACTGTTTTTCTTGACAGCTGTGAGTAGGCAGTGGCCTGAAAGGCACGTCCTGCTGGGCTGGAAGGTGGTTTTTCTAATGGCGCAGGTGCCAGTACAATTCATGCTCACTAGAGCCCTGCTGCTAGGGAAGCCCATCAGGTTAGTCCTGGCCTTGCCCTCAGGGAGACGACAGCAAGTTAGAATGAGGCTTACAAGCAACTGGAGCCAAGGCCTCGCTAGAAAGGACTGGGGCTGGCCTTTGAATGTTGGGAATGCTGGAGTGGACCTAGCCCTGAGTGTCCCATTCCAGAAAATTCGACTGAATGAATAGGTACTTAAAAAGCTTTGAAGTAAGGAGCTACACAGATAAGCCCTACCAGCTTCCTGCCCATGAAGCATGCTTCAGGCTGTGTGTGTGGGGGGAGGGGGGGGGCGCAGCAATACCGGGACACACCCATGGGTCTCATTCCCAGCTGCCAGCCTGAGCCAGCTGCCTCTTACTTTACCTCAAGGAAGCACAGTCGCAGCTGTACAGAGGAGGGGACAGCTTTTCTGAAGTCTCTTGTGCCTGTGGTAGAGTGGGTGAGAGAACATGTTCTCTTACGTCTGCCGCCTGCTCCACCCCACCATCTCCCAGCCTTTGACTGGAGTCACAGGCATAGTTGGCCTAGAACTGGCCATAGAAATGGCACTTCCAATAGCGTATGTTTGCCATCCGCAGCCTCCTGGGCCAACTGTGAACAAAATTCACCAGTTTGGTGCAGCTTAGTGGAGAGCACTTGCTTGGCATATGGGAGATCCTGGGGTCCATCTCTAGCAAGACACACACAGCCATGCACACTCCAGTTGATGCCTTCCTCCTGTGCCCCATTCTGCACCACAGTGAGGCTTTCCGTCCTAGAGGCTAAAGTTATGTCTTAAGTTTAAATTACTGTGCTTAAGAGATCTATTAAACAAAAATGCCTCTAACCTGTCATCTCCACTTGCCCAAGGACTGATAACTTCCTGGAATGTTGGGGGCTGTTGTTCATGTAAGATAACAAGCCAAGTGTTCTCAGTTCTATAAATGAGTTTATATACA